GCTGTGCGCCCGGGCCGCAGGGAGCGAGTCCCGGCTTGTGCCTGGCTCCCTCGGAACGTGCCCGGCCTGCCCCAGCGCCTGTGCCGGGATGTGCCGGCTTGCCCGGCCGGGGCTGTCCCGGCGTGGCTGCCCCGCTCCGACAGCCCCTCCCGGGCACAGCGGTGCCAGCCCGGAGCCCGGGCGCTCCCGGCACGGCGCGGGCCCCTCCCGGGATGCCCGCGGGCAGCGCTCCGGGCTCTGCCAGCCTGTCATCATCCCCGTGTCCAATTTCATCCCGTCCCTGCTCCCGCTGAGGGCCAACTGCAGCCTTGGCAGAGGAGGGCACAGCACGGGCACAGCCAGACTGGCAGGGGTGAGCCCTGTCCGGCAGCAGGGTCCAGCTTTTGGGGTGTCCTGGGGAGGTTTGATCCCTTCCAAGCCAGCCCCTCTCCCGGGGAGGTGCCATTTGGTGACGTCCCCACACGGCCCGGCAGGTGTGTCACCCTGACCGCCGGCCCTGCCGGGGCACCGGCCCGACGGGCTGAGCCGGAGGCTCCGGATCCCGCCGCCTTCCCACGCCCAAACCTTCCTGCCGGGGCCGCGGCGATCCTTGGCCGTGCCCCAAGGACACGGGTCAGCGCTCCGGCCACGGGCACCCACGGACGGGTGCCAGGCTCACCCCCTTGTGCTGTGGAACCGGACCGTGTCCCGGGCTCTCCCTGCTCCCAGAGCCACAGCTGTTCCCCGTGTGTTGTTGTATTTTGGGGTATGCAGACAAATATTCCTCAATCCCGAGGGGAGGGCGGGAAGTGCTGAACAATGGTCCTGCGCCCCGCAGTGCCCCCTGAACCCCCCCTTGGCTGGGGGCTGCCAGTGTCCCCCTGCTGCCGGGCTGGAAGGGGACCCCCAGCACAGGGGAGCTGCACCCCCTCTTCCCTTGGGATCAGGATTGAGCCCTGGGGTGGGTGACATAGAGACAGCAAGGCCCCCTAGCATTCAGCCTCGCCCAGGGTGGTGTTGAAAAGCAATTAAACACTGAGCTCTGGGACAGGTCCCCATGTCCCCGAGTCCCTGTCCCGCCCCCCTGTTCCCAGCACTGGGCCCTGGGCTGGAGCCGAGGCTGTTCTGGCGCTTCCTGCGCAGGAACAGGCGCTGGGAACAGCCGCCAAGGCTCTGGATCCGGCCCCGCTCCCGCCCTGGCCCTGCCCGAGTTTGGGAGCGGAGTACAGAGCCTGTGCCCTGATGGGCCCCTCAGTGAGGGCTGGACCCTCCCCCGTGCAACCCCTCCTCCACCACTGCTGTGGTGGGTTTGGGGTCTCAGCTGGGCTTGGGCACTGGGTGCCCACCCAAGGGCTGGGGGCTTGGGTGGTCTCCCATGGGAGCTGCTCCCACCTTTCCTGGATAGGAGGAGTGGACTGAGATTCCTTGGGGGCCCGTCCCTTGATGGGAAGGGGAGCCCAGAGAAGAGGGAGCAGCCTGACTGAGCCCTGGGTGCCCCAGCAGTGCCAGCCCCTCTCCTGGGCAGGAGGGTGGGAGCAAGGGGGTGGGAGGCAGGAGCAGCTGGCCTATGCCCACCCTGTCAACACCAGCAGATTTTTGGGAAGCAGCTGTGGCCCTCTGGCAGCCTGGGCCCTCTCCACCAGGCTGACACTAGGTGCTGGGACTCCCAGGACAGCAGGATGACCCTCTCCTTGTCCCCTCCAATGTCCTGTGTGCATCCCTGAACATCCCTGGTGGTGGGCGCTGGGCTGGGGGCTCCTGGGGGGCAGAGGATGAGCTGGGCAGCCCCACGGCCCTGGTGGTGCTGCTTTTGGGGTGCAATGTCAACATCCCCATGCACCCAGCCCGCGGTGCTGGCACAGGGAGGAGAGACACATCTTGGGGTTTGGGGGCCTGTAGCTTTGGCCCCCCCTCATCCCTATGGCCAAATCCCAGTGTGGAGCAGCTGAGCCCTGTCTGGTTCTTTCCACTGAGGATGGGGCTCAACTACACCCCAAAGCAGCGTCCCCACACCTGGGGCAGATCCTGCCTTGGGGATCAGCCAGGGGACAGCGTGGCACGCAGTGTGTCCGGCTGTGCCGAGCCTGTGGAGCCACCAGCCTCAGTGTCCCCTGTCCCTCGCAGAGCTGCCGCCCTCCGAGTTCATGCAGGTGGCAGACTCCACGTGGCTGGCGCTCAGCGTGGTGTCCAGCGGGCGGGAGCCCCCCGGCTGCCAGGCCACCGGCGTCACCAAGATCGCGCGGTCGGTCATCGCGCCGCTGGCCGAGCACCACGTCTCGGTGCTGATGCTCTCCACGTACCAGACCGACTTCATCCTGGTGGGTGACGGGCACGCGGTGGTGGCCCTGGCTGGCTGCCCAAGGGGAGGGTGGCAGTGCAGCCCTGATCCCGCGCCCCGGGGCAGGTGCGGGAGCGGGACCTGCCCGTGGTGATCCGCACGCTGGCCGGGGAGTTCGACATCTACAAGGAGGAGAGTGGCGAGTGTGTCCCTGTCACCTGCGATGACATCAGCAACGGCTTCCTCAAGCCCAAGCCACGTAAGTGACACCGGGCTCTGTGTCCCCTGGGGCCACCCAGTCCTAGCCAGGTGCCCCAGTACAGCTGGTGGTACCCATATCCTTGAGGGACCTCCAGGGACACCCTGTCCTGGGGCCACCCGGTCCCCACTGACATGATCCAGTTCCCACCAGTGGAACCCACATCTTTGGGAGACCCCCAAGGCCACCCTGTCCCCTGGCCACCCAGTCCCAGAGCCATCCAGTCCCTGCCAAGATGCTGCTCCCGTGGGTGGTTCCCACGTCCTGGGGGACCCCATGGCCACCGTGTCCCCAGGACCACACAAGTCCCTGCCAAGGCGCTTCTGCTCCCACCAGTGTCACATACCTGAGGGACCCCTCCAAGATGCTCCAGTTCCCACTGGAGATTTCCACCTGGGGACACTCGGAGATGCTGCAGCTCCCACCGGTGGTGCCCACATCCTTGGGGACCCCCGGGCCACCCCTCTGCTCCCTGGGAGACTCGGGGCCGTGGGCGCGGTGGCCACGGGGTGGCACTGCGGGACTGTCCCCGAGCTGTCCCCAGGCCTGACCGGCCGTTCCCCTGCCAGCCGCCAGCCCCACGCTGCACCCGGTGCAGAGCCCCCAGACGCGCTTCTGTGTCCTGACGGTGGCCCCCGACACGCTGCCCGCCATCGCCACCATGCTCATCGACGTCCTCTTCTACTCCCACAGGTGAGTCCCGGGGATGGGGACACGGAGGTGGCCTTTTGCCTGGTGCCACCTGAACTGCGGTGACATTGATCCCAGCCATTGGTCCCAGCGGGTTTTCAGACTCTGGATGTGTTTTCCAAACTGGTTTTATCTTCCTGGGAACTGCACTGTGAGGGGTGGGAACCCCGAGGTGACGCAAGGGACAAAGCCACCGTTGTACCAAATCCCAGGGGGGACGCTGTAAAGCAGGAGGGGGTGGTTTTGGGAAAGGCAGTGGGAATGGTGCTGGGGGGGTTCTCCCGTGTCTCCTGGGGTGGGGTCCCTCCTGGTGGCACCCTCCTGCTCCACAGTGACCATGGCCATTTTGAGAATGCCCCTAAACCTGGTGTCACCTGTGAGCTGCAGACCCTGTGGGGACCACCACCTCCTATCCCCTCTCCCCCAGCCTGCAGCACCCCAGCACGGTGCTCAGACTCCCAGTGCCACCACCAAGCCCTTCTCCTCCCCATTTTGGGGGTCGTGACCCCTCCTTGTGTCCCCTTCCGCCTCGGCAGCCCCCCGTGGGACGCAGCCACCGGCAGCCAGGACCTCGACTCCATCACCTTCTTCTCCTTCTCCCTCATCGACGGCTACATCTCCATCGTGATGGATGCCGACACCCAGAAGCGGTAGGTGCCGTCCCGGGGCTGTCTGTCCCTCTGTCCCTGCGTCTGGGGGCTCAGGGAGGGGGTGACACTTGGCTTTGTCCCCCTCAGCTTCCCCAGTGACCTCCTGCTGACCAGCTCGACGGGGGAGCTGTGGCGGATGGTGCGCATCGGGGGACAGCCCCTCGGCTTCGGTGAGTGTGGCCGTGTCCCCTCTTGTGCTGCTGCCACCCAGGGGGTGCTCTGGGGCACGGCTGTCCCTGTGTGTCCCCATGGTAGTGACCTGAGGGCCCCTTTGTCCCCCAGACGAGTGTGGCATCGTGGCGCAGATCGCGGAGCCGCTGGCGGCCGCTGACATCTCGGCCTATTACATCAGCACCTTCAACTTCGATCACGCCTTGGTGAGCCCTGCCCCTCCCCGGGGACCCCTGAGTGTCCCCGCAGTGTCCCCTGAGGCTGACAGCGCTCTGTCCCCCGCAGGTCCCCGAGGAGGGCATTGCTGAGGTCATCCAGCTGCTGCAGCAGCGGCAGGAGAGCGGCAGATAGCGGCCGGCCCCACCCTGCCCGGCCCAGCGCGGGGTCTGCCCTCCTCCCCACCCTGGAACATTGAAATTGTTCATTTTAATGATCCCCCAGCACAGCACAGAGCCAGGCACAGCATCACACTCCCTCTGTGCTGGGGATGAGGCGGATTTGGGGACATGGTGGCCTTGTGGCCGTGGGCAGTGGCCCACGGGAGAGGGGTCAGGCTGCCATCCTCTCCCTCTGGCCCAGCCTGTGCAGGGTGGGTGGCCCAGGGAGAGTGGGTGTGTGCAGGGGGAGGGGACACGGGGGGACATGCCAAAGAGCAGTGATGTGCCACTGTGGTGCTATAGGGGACAGCCTGGGGCTGATGGGCTGTGTCCCCTTGGGAAGGGGGCGGTGGCCACGATGCTCAGGGACACCCCTGGACTTGCCCCATGGAGTGGAGAGCATTCCTGGAGCTGGGGTTACCCCTGGCACCCCAAAAATCTCCAAAGGGGCAGTGAGGGGGCTCAGGTTCAATGCCAGCCCTGGTTGTCACCTGTCATAGAGGGGTGACAGTGGCACCCAGCCCCTCACAAGTTGTATTTTCACATAGTTTTTGGTAAGTCAATAAAATTATTATTATTTTTATTTCTGTGTAGCCCAGAGCTGGTTCCTGTGTTGGTGGCAGGGGCTGGGGTGGGACAAGGGGACAGAGTTCTGCTGTGACATGCCTGGGACACGGCCACTTTCTCTGCTCTGTATTTTGGGTGAAAAAATGGGTTAAAGCTGCATCCCCCAGCAAATCACCAGCCCTGGGGAAACCTAGGCACACACATTTATGCCCTCCTGCTGCCCCACACCGGGCCAGACTGGGGGGAAACTGAGGCAGAAGCTTGACCCCAGGCCTGGGGATGTCCCTGTCACACTGCCACTGTGTCCCCACGTCCTCTTCCCTTGCTGGCAGCACAGCACCCTGTGGCAAAGTGGGGTGCACGGGGTGAGGGCTGTGCCCTCCTGGGGTGCTGCAGCAGTGGGTGCCCCCAGGGGGGGCTGGGCCTCAGCCAGACCCAGCACGAGCCTGGTGGGGACCTCTGCTGCCATCCTGTCCCCAAAACCCGTCCCCTGCTCTGCCACGTTCCGAGCACGACCGTGCCCCGCTCCTGGCACGCCTTGCCCACGTCAGCCCCACGCTCCTGCAGCCACCAGCGCCGTGCCAGCTCTCCGGGCACTCTCTTTCCTGTCTCGGTCCCTTCTGCGAGTCATGGGACGCTGGTGACGCGCTCCCGGCGATGAAGAAATTGCTGCTGGCCCGTGCGGTCACCGGAGCTATTTTTGTCCCTGTTGGGTATTGCACAGTCCTGGCCACACTTGCCATGGGGTGGCCACCACCGTGGCCTCCTGCTGGCCCAGCCCGGGGGGTGACGGTGCCATGTGGAGGGGACAGGGCCACCTGTGGGCAGGGGAGAACTGAGGGGGAGCCCTGATCGCCCTCATGGCAGGGCATGGAGGGATGGAGGGAGGGATGGAGGGATGGAGGGATGGATGAGTGGACAGCCTGTCCAGGCAGCCTGAGGGATGGACAAACTGCTGTGGAACGAGCAAGAGCTTCTCCTGGTTCCTCCACCTCTCCAGGACTGCCCTGGGCACAGCCCTGGCCCCACGGAGCCCACCCCAGCCGCCACCTCTGCCGGGGAGGTTCTGGGCAGGAGGAAGAGGAAGAGGAAGAATCGTCAGAGGCAGCTGGTGGAGGAAGCAGACCGTGCAGGTCGTGGTTTGGTGCGGCCAGGACAGGGAAATTCTGGGAAAAGAAAGCACTTCTACAAGTGAGTCACTGCTGCATCCTTCCTTCCTCCTGGAAGGAGCTGTTCACTTCTGGCTTGTCCCCCTGCGCCACCACGGAACTCTGCAAACACGTAAATTCTGCGAGGGTCACCAAAACCATCGGGATTGCGACACGCTGATCGCTGCTGGGAGCCGTTCACCTCTCAGGAACGGGAAATTCCCTGTCGGTGCCGGGCTCCGCCTGCCGGGAAGAGGAGCCCAGGGGACAAAGGGGGTGCCCCGGGTGCTGCTGGCTGTGCCGAGCCCCAGGGCTCTCCCAGGGCAGTGCTGCACACGGGGCACTGGTGCCCTCGGTGTTCCCGTGGGTGCTGTGGGCAGGGGGGCTAAGCCTGGTGTCCCCCGCTCGGTTCAACACCCAAATTTGTCACCCAGAGGTGCGGCAGGCAGGCGGAGCATCTCCCGGAGCATCAGGCAGTGACACTCAGGGATGCCCCGCACTTCCCGCACTCCAGTTCCCTCCTTGCCAGGGTAGATCTTTGCCTCCCACAGTTGGATTTGGGATGCGAAACACCCAGCGGTGGCACAAGGGTGACATCCCTGTCCCCGCTGCCTCTTTTGCATTGGGGTTTGGGGGCAGGCGGCGCTGGTTTCAGTTCAACCTGCCGTGTGCGGAGCGGTGAGACCGGCGGGAATCCAAAAGTCTTTCCCGAGAAGTCGGGACGCGGGGGCCGTGCCGGACCGGGGGTGAGCGGTGGCACCGCAGCCTCCGGCCGGCCTCCCTCGAGGAACTGCCTCGAAGAACAGAAGAACATCCCCGTGCACCGCCCGGCCGCTCTCACTACCCCGCTCATTGGCCCCCGGACACGGCTGCACTTCTCGCTGCCTTCCGCCGTGCCCGGGTGCCTCCTTCGGAGGTGGGGGTGACTCGGGTGCGCTTTAAAAGCCGCGCTTCCCCATCGCCGAGCGTTAAGGAAGTGCCTTGTGCGCCCCAGCCCCGGGCGGACACCGGGCCCGGCCATGCGGCGCGACGGGCGGCCCTGGGCGGTGCTGGCAGGTACGTGTGTGCCCCGGGCCGTGCCCGCTCCCCTCCGCTCCCCCGGCCCGGAGCGCGGCCCCGGGGTCAGCGGGGCCGGGGCAGATGGCACCGGGGCTGTGCCGCGGCACTGTCGCCTCCCTCGGGCGCCGGCGGCGGCGGGGACATTCCCCGCTCTGGGGGTGGGCAGCCCGGGGGAGAGGCGACAGGAGGGGACAGCTTGAGGACCAATGGCAGAAGGTCAGAGGTCAGCTTGCCCAAAGGGACAGAGGCTGCGTGTCAGCCCAGTGCCATATCCAAAGTCCTGTGGGTGACAGCGGGACTGGGACAGTGACTGAGCAGAGCTGGAGAGAGGGGCTGGATGCAGGAGTGGCGCTGGTGGCCCGCGCTGCCAGGGGGAGCTGCTGGAGCAGCTGCTGTGGTTGCTCTGCACATCCCGGCTGCTCCACAGCACCTCCAGCACCCTCATCCTCCTCCCCGCCGGGGCCCAGCAGGTTTTTGGTGCAGGGGCTGGTCTGTGGTGCAGGCAGCATTCCGGGCGCGGGGGTGCTGACCCTGTGAGAGGGCTCCGTCCCTGCACCCAGCGATGCCCCAGGGGCCCCTGACTCCCTCCTCTTCCTCCCCAGCTGTCGCCCAAGGGCTCCTCATCCTCTGGGCAGTGCCGGGCCAGGGGGGCAGGTCCCCGCTGGCCCCCACCGTGCAGCAGACCCAGGCGCTGGTGAGGCTCATGGCCGAGGACGCGCAGGAGCTCTTCACCTTCTACGTGAGTCCCCTTCCCCAGGGCGAGGTCATACCTGTCCCCTCCACAGGGCAGCTCCGGGGCGCTCCCCGTGCTGCTTCCACATCCCCGATCTTCCATCTCTGGGCAGGAGAAGGAGCAGCACCTGGACATCCACAACATGTGCCGCACCAACAATACCCCCGAGTGGCTGCAGAGACCGGCCAGGGGGCCCTGGGGGCTGCGGAGGCTGCGGAGACCCATGATCCACATGGAGCAGGCGCTGCAGGACATCATCCGCCACCAGCGCGACCTCCACCACCCCGAGGCCGAGATGCTTCGCCGCTTGAGCAGGACCCACCGGAAGGTGCGAGCGCTCCTCAGCAACCTGGCGGGGCTTTTCCCGGCCCCCGGCCTCCGGCCCGGCCGCCGGCCCCTCCCCAGCCCCGCGGCATCCCTCGGCATCTTCCGACAGAAGCTGCAGGGCTGCCGGATCCTCTGGAGCTACTCCCGCTTCATGGCCGAGCGCAGCGCGGAGCTGGGGGCCGGGAGCCGCCGGACGCGCCGGGAGAAGGGGAGATCGCAGCGGGGCTCGGGGCTGCCCGCCCGGCCCTAGGCAGCGCCCCGGTACCGGAGCTCCGGTGTGCTTCATCTCCTTCATCCCCGTCCGTGGGAATCCATCCCAGCCCCATTCCCGGGATGGAGATGCGGCCGGTGGCCGGGATGCCCCACGGAGCCTCTGTCACCTCCCCTGGGTCGGGCTCGGATGCACTGAGAGCATCTCCCGCCGCTCCGGCTCCTGGTGGGGACACGGCTGTCCCCGAGCCACCGCTGGGCTGCAGGACAGCCCTGGCTGCCCCTCCCGCATCCCGCCCCGCTTTCCCGTGGATCCAGGTGGGAGCCGGGTGTCCCCCAGCTGCTCCCTGTCCCCGAGTCCTGCCGGAGTTTCCAGTGATTCAATGGGTCGGGTGACACAGCCTGACTCACAGCTGCTCGCCCAGCACCCGCCACCGGGCCCACGGCGCTGCCACCGGCGGCTGTCACCGGTGCTGTCACCCCCTGCCTGCCCGCTGCCGGCTCCGCTCCCAGGGAGAAGCTGGGAGGGGAGTCCTGTGTCCCTGCACGTCTGTGTCCCTCTGTGCTCGGTGTCCCCAAGCTCGGTGTTCCTGTGCTCTCAGTGTCCCCAGGCTGCACACTGGGGGTTGCCACAATCCCAACATCCCTGTCCCCTCTGTGTCCCCCTGAGCCTCCGAGGCTGTGCCACCACAGCCCTGACCGTGCCCAGCAGGGACTCGGCTCTGTGCCCTGCACTGTGACAGTGGGTGACAGCCCCCACTGCCTCCCCTCTAATTTATACATTAATATTTGTGTGTTTAGTGTATTTATTGATTGTTAGGGTTAATTTAACTCCTGCAGCTCGCAGAAGTATTTAAGGATATTTCTAATATATAAATATCTATTTTTATTATATTTTTTGTACGGCATTAAACTATGAACATCACAAGGATTTATTTATGTATATTGATATTTTTGGTACACATAGAAGGGCAGTGCCCCCGCCCATGTGGCACTTCTTTATTTTTGTACAATGGCAGAAGGAAATAAAGTGCTGACCTTGGCCTATGGGCCACTGAGACGTCGTGTCCCTGTGTCCCTTTGTCCCTGTGTCTGTCCTGGTGGCTGTGGGCAGGGAGAGGCTGTATTCTGGTGGCCAGGCTGTGTCTGATGTCCTTGCCAGGGCACACGGGATGTGACATGGGGCGGTGTGGGGCGTGTGGGACAACACGGTGTGACACACGGCATGGCACAAGCTGGGATGTGGCACTTCATAGTGTGGCCCATGGCACGGGACACAACATGGCACACGATGGGAAGTGGCACACGGCACAGTGTGGCACAGGGCATGTGACAGGACAGGCTGCAGTGTGCCACCACAGGGCCTGGCACTGCCAGCAGTGTGCCATGCCGCGGTACGGCACAGGCCACACCACACCTTGTGCCACAGCCACAGCCCTGTCTGGGCCATCCCCACGGCCACGCTGAGTGCAGTGTCCTGCAGGGGACCAGGCCACCCGCTGCCACCGGCCCCTCTGAGTCAAAAATCCTAAGACCCGGTCATGTGTCCCCGCGGAGTCACTCGTTCCCGTGGTGCCGTGTGCCGGGCCGGGGTGCCCGATCTGCCGCCGGCACCGCGCCTGACTCAGTCCCGGCAGTGCCACCGGCACGGCCACCACGGCCAGCTGGGGACACTCGTGGGGGGACAATGTCACCATGAAGCAGCCCGGGCCAGCCTGGCGTGCTGTGGGTGACCGTGGAAGTGACTGTGACTGTGCCACCACCGAGCCGCTCGCGCAGCTCTGGAGAGGGCCGCGGAGGGGAGGGTGCAGGTACGTGACCCCGGGAGGGCTGCGGGACCCCGGGCACGGGGTGACACCAGCTGAGTGTCACGGAAGGGATGGTGGCTTCTCTGGTGTCCCCATTCGTGAGAAAAGCCTATGGGGGACACCCGTGGGGTGACACCCGTGGGGTGACGCTGCTGGGGTGGCACTGGTGGGGTGGAAGGAGTGGGGTGGCAGCAGTGAGGTGACATCAGTGGGCACAGGGACAGGGGTGAGGCAGCCCTGGCAGGGACCCATGGTGAGTCGAAGGGGAATTCGGTGCCCTCCGTTCTTCAGCTCTGGACTTCCCTGGGCCGGGAGCCCCCGCCTCGCTCAGCCCCTGCTCAGCCCCCCGGGAGGGCTCCCCGGACAGCCCCACCCCCACACCTGGGGGACAGCCGGGGCTTTTGGGGACCCTGGAGTCTGGATGTGCCCCTGCCCGGGAGCCAGAGGGGGGTGAGGATGGGGCATGGGGGCAGTTATAGGGTGGGGCAGCCATGGGGGCAGCTCTGAGAGGGGCTGGGGCGGGGGGGACAATGATGGGATGGCGAAGGGCAGGAGGGGACAGCTGCTGGCTGGGGAGAGGAGAGGTCTGCGGGGGGGAAGGGGCAGGAGCAGGGATGGGATGGGATGGGATGGGTCCGCTCTGGGCCGGGATGGGGCTGCGAGGGCAATTATGGGATGGGGAGAGGCCAGTTCTGGGCTGGGGCAGCAGGGGGCAGCACGGGACAGGGATGGGGACAGGGATGGGGACAGGGATGGGGACAGGAACGGGGACAGGGATGGGGACAGGAACGGGGACAGGGATGGGGACAGGAACGAGCGGGCATGGAACGGGGGTGAGGAGGGGGCAGCACAGGGACAGGGAAGAGGGAACAGCAGGGGGACAGGGATGCGGCAGAGAGGCGTCATGGGGACAGGAGGGGGACAGGGACGGGGTGGGGTGTCTGCCATGGAGCTGAGGACAGCGGTGGGCAGGGGTGCTCAGGGGACACCACTCGGAGGGGCACAGAGGAGCAGCAGCAGGGCAGAGGTGGCCTTGGAACACCCTGGGCTTGTCCTCTTGTCCCTGGGCAGGTCGGCGGTGGGGATGGAGGAGGCAGTGGAGACACTGCAGACACTGAGGACAGTGGGGACAGTGGGGACAGCTGCCCCCCGACCAACCTGCCCCAGCTCCTCCTGGGACCCCAAACCCCACAGGGCCCCGACCCTCAGTCTCTCCTGACAGGGCTGGCTCCCCCCGGCCCCGCTTCCTCCTCCCTCCCTGGGACACGCTGGGACCCCCGCCCCTGTCACCGTCTCCTCACGCTCCTGCAGCCCCATTCCTGCTGCCCACCTCCACCGGGTGCGTGCGGGGATATTCCTGCTACCAAAGGGGCTGGGGAAGGGGATATTCCCGGGCATCATCTCCTGCCCTGGTACCTCCCAGCCTGGCATCTCCCATCTCCCATTCTGCCATCTCCTTATCCAGCCAGTCTGGAGCAGGAACTCGTTTTCCCACCGGAGCATCCCCCCCTGCAGAGGTCCAGCATCTCCCCGCAGGTTTGTCTTTTCTCCTAGAGAAAACCCATCATTTAATCCTAACGCTTTTGCCCGAGGGGCTGAGCTGCAGGTGGGGACAGCAGTGCCACCTTGATGATGCCACCATGACAAGGGGTCCCACACCCCTCAGGGGACCCCAAAGCCACCTCAGCTCCAGCCTAGACTCAGTCGCTCCTGGGAAATCCAAGAACAGGGCAAATCCATGTCAACCCCTGCACACAACCCCCCCCAGCACGTTCCCTATACTAATTATTACGTGCTATTAATTCCTCAGCTAATTAAGTGCGTTAGGCCATCAGGTGACCATCAATATGTGATGTGCTGCTCCCCATATCCCAAAAAGACTGGGGTGAGGCTGAGGGGTGGGAGATGGAGCTCATCGTCCCCGCCCTCCACAGTCCCAGCTCATCGCTGGTGTCCCACTAGGACCAGACTGGGCTAAACTGGGCTGGGGCATCAATGCCACCGGCAGACCAGGCTGGTCCATGCAGGGGGAAACTGAGGCACGCAGCAGCTGTGGCCCGACCCCGCCAGCACAGAGGGGTCTTCGTGTCCCCCCTCACTAAAGGGAGGGCGCCCGGGGTCGTGGCGGCTCCTGCCTTATCGTTCCTGGACTGTCACCGCCGGTTCACCTGCCGGGGAACAAACTTGCCAAACCTGATTAAAGCTTCAGTTCGGCCCCGGTGAGAAAAAAAACACAGAGAAGGACAAAAAAGTCCATTTAACCTGTTTTTTACCCATATCGGGCAGCGAACAGCCCCGCAGTGTCCTGATCCCATGGGATCCCCAAGAGACGGTGACCCTGGGCAAGTCACCAGCACCCTCTGCCCGCTCCAGGCAGGGGACAGCCCCGTCGAGGGAAGGGTTAACCTGGGGGGGCCGGTCCGGCCTGTCCCGCTGGGTGGGTTTGTCCTTTTTCCCGCAGAAAACCCACCCTTCACTGATAATACTTCTGCCCAAAGGGACGAGCCGGCGGCGGGCTGGGGGACACCGCTGCCACCGCCGCCACCCCACCGTGACCGAGAGCGCGGCACCCCACCACCACTTCCTCGCGCCTTCCAGCCCTCCAAAACCCCAAACAAACCCCAAAACAGACTTTTTTACCTCCTTCATTTTATTGCCTGCTCCGGCAGCCAGCGGGGAAGCCTCGGCCCGGGGAGGGGGACCCGGGGAGGGTGAAAGTGTTTGCGGCTCCTGAGTCACAGCCCCGCGCGTCCTCCGCCGTGCCTCGACACCCCGAACCCCACGTGGGGACGCGCAGCTCTCTTGGGGGGGGGGCTTCAATTCATCCTCCCCAGCCCACCCATTTCCCCGAGCCCGTGCGCGAAAAAAAAAGACAGATACCAAATTTAATGTGACAATAGAAATCTATTTCTAACAAACATTCAAAGCCCTTCGACTTCCTGATCTTTTTGCCTCAATACAGCTATAACGATAGCGAATGATTATCCCCCACCCCCCATCTCCTCCCTCTCACAATAGAGGCTGGCTGCCGGACCGGTATATAAACCCCGAGAAGTCCCCCAGTATGAACATGAATTTCTGAAAACTTCCTCTGCCAACACCAATCCCTATTAAGTCGCTCCCGGGACGCGGCTCACAATGAAGTTCGTGCCGGCAGGTAAAAAAAAAACAAAACCAAACCGACTTTGGGGATACTATTTCCCCTTCTCCCCCTCCCCCTTTTTTCCTCCCCCTCCCCTCCTTTAGCCGGTGATGCCGGCGGGACCGGTTGGATGCCGCCGCTGGAACCGGAGCGAGGGCTCCCGCCGCGCCGCGTCCCCCCCGGGACGAGCATCTCTGGGAATTGGCAGCGGGAGCGGAGCGCGGCGCTGGCGCGGTCCAGCCAACATCTGGACACTTATATAACTGGAAATGCTTCCAAGGAAAAAAAAAATCTCAAGGAGGGGGGGATTTTTTTTTTCTTTTTTGTACTTTTAAATACTTTTTTTTTCCCCCCTCCTGCTTTTCCTCCTTCTGGGTCTCCCGATGCCTCAAGCCGCTGCCGTGCCGGGAGCGGTGGAAGGATGGGGAGGCTGCCAAGTGCAGGAAGGGGGTTGGAGGGAGCAGCCCCCACCCCTGAAGCCGTTCTGGGGGTCCCACGGGGCAGCACGCAGCGGGGACTCCCCACCCACCCAGATCCTGGCACACGTGGGGCAGAGCCGCTCCCTGCCCAGCTGTGAATGGGGCACACAGCGAGAGGGGCACGTCAGGGGTCGGGAATCCCGCGTGGGACACCCAGGGCCGCGGGGGCGCGGGGGGCAGCGTGTCCCCGTCCCGGGCGGGAGGGGAGCCGCGGGTCAGGGACTGGAACACGCCCAGGTAAGTCCTGTCCCACCTGGGCAGGGTAAATAAACCGAGGCTTGGATTACCCGGCACCGCGGCACGTCCGAGGCGCTGACAAGTCACGGCCCGGGGACTTCTCCCGGCAGCGTCCCCGCGGCGGGACACGGCACCGCCACCCTGCCGGGACCCTGCCGGTGGCTCCGGGTCACCCAGCGGCGGGGACACCCCGGCCACCCACCCAGACGTTGCCCAGAGCAGCGGCGGGCTCCATGGGCTGTTGACCTCTCCGGGCAGGGATGGATCCCGGTTTGGGGAGTCCCGGCGGATTTGGGCTTGCAGAGCCCCGCTCTCAGGAGGGGACCCAGCTGCCGGAGGCTCAAGGGTCCCCTTGTTCCGCGTCCAGGGATTTCCTGGCTGGAGTCTCTGGCAGCTGCATCGTCTCTCCCCAGGGCTCCTCGGCGCTGCGCCCGCTTCTCAGTGAGGGAAACTGAGGCAGGCGGTGGGGCCGGGGGCGGGAGGAAGGAGGGAGGGCACGGCGAGAGCAGGTTTCCTTGCGGGAGCCCCGCTGAGTCAGCCGGGCCGGGGTGGGGCCTTGCTTCCGAAGCGCCCGGACCAGGATAACGGAGGAAAAAGCGCCTTGCACGGTTGATTAAACACGACAGGTCGCCACCGGGCCGGTTGCGAAATGTGGGAATGCTGCGGGGGCCCCCGCCGGGAAGGGAGGCGGGGGAGCTCCTGCCGGGGGGCAGGTGAGGGGCACGGCAGCGGGCCGGGACTCGGAGCGGGGTCCGGGCATTGCAGCTGAGCCGGACGCACACCCGGGCGGGATGAGTCCTCCTCCAGCTGGACACCCTCCCTCTGGGTGCCTGGAATGGGGTCACCCCGGGAGGATGCCCGGCATCACGCCCCGTCCCGGTCCCCAGGGTGACAGCAGCTCTCTCCCCACACAGGCGTCGTGCCCTTCGTGGCGCTGCTCCTGCTGCAGCGGCGGCCCGTGGCCGGCCGGGCGCTGCTGCTGAGCGGCTCCGGCTGCCCCGGCCACGGCTTGTGCCGCTCCAACGTGCAGGAGCAGACCCGCAGGCAGGTGGCCCTGCTCAACGCCACCGCCCAGGAGCTCTTCAGCCTCTATGTAAGTGGCGCTTGGGGACGGTCGGGGGTCACGGAGGGGGTTGAGCCACAACTGCGTGAAGGGGGAGGGCTGGGGACACCATGGGGATGGTGGGGGACACAGGGGACATGGGGTGACTCTCGCCTCTCCTCCCAGCTGAAGTGCCAGGGAGAACCGTTCAGCAGCGAGAGCGACAAGCTCTGCAACCCCGCCGGCATCTTCTTCCCCGCCTTCCGCGTCAACCGGACCAGCGAGAGGAAGGAGGTGATGGTGGCCATGTACAAGCTCTTCGCCTTCCTCAACGCCTCGCTGGGCAACATCACGCGCGACCAGGAGGAGCTCAACCCCATGGCCAAAGAGCTCCTCGAGCGGCTCCACAACACCACCAAGACCACCCGAGGCCTCATCTCCAACCTCACCTGCCTCCTCTGCAAGAACTACAACATCTTCCAGGTGGATGTCAGGTACGGAGACAGCTCCAAGGGCAAGAGCGCCTTCAAGAAGAAGCAGCAGGGCTGCCAGGTGCTCAGGAAGTACGTGCAGGTCATCGGGCTGGCGGCACGTGTCCTCCTACCTCATCTCAGCCCCTCATGAGCGCCGCCCCGGCGACGCTCCTCTCCGCCGCTGGCCGGCCCCACCGCTGCCTCCTCAACTCCCGCCTTCCTATTTATTGCTCGGACCCTGCGCAGGCCCCATCCGCCCTCCGCTAATTTATTGCCCCTTGAAGGGGTGAACGTCGCAGCCCGGGATGTCCCGGGCAGAGCAGAGCCAGCGCCCAGCAGGACGAGGCAGCGCATCTGCGAGGAGCATGGGCTGGTCCCAGGATGTGCCTCAGCCATCCCCGCGCTCCCGTGGGGTGTGGGGAGCCGTGGGGACTGGAGGCAGGGCCGGACTCTGTCCCCCACGGACAGTGTCACCACGCAGAGCAAACGGACAGATGCCCTTGAGCACCGTCTGAAAGCTGTCACTTCCCTGGAAAAAGGATTGTGAGGAAGGACATTGGGATGCAGTGGCTGGCAGAGACGTGGGGACGTGGGGACATGCTCCTCCTGCACGTTTTAAGGCTGGGCTCCCCTGCAAGGAGCCAGACTGAGGGTACTGGTGGCCTGAGCTTGCTGGGGCTGGGTCCCACCATCTGGGACAAGGCCACCTGTGTGGGACAGTCACCCCACTGTGGAGCATCACCCCCCGCGCGGGCACGGCGGGGCACGGAATGTCCTCTCCTTTGGAAAAGCGCTTTTCCCACTGGGAGAGCTCTGAATGTACGAACGGCCAAGAGCTGGGCTTTGCACGGCTGCATGCAGCCCTGGCGTGGGGACGTGGGACACGGGGACACGGGGACAGGGCACACAGGGACATGGGGACATCATAGGGATGTGGGACACGGGGACGTGCGACACGGGGACATGGGACACAAGAACATGGGACACGGGGACATAGGGATGTGGGACATGGGGACGTGGGGACACAGGGACACAGGGACGGGCCCCAGGCCGGTGGCAGGTGGCGCTGGCTCACTCCTGCACCAGAGCAGGCTGTGAGGTTTATTAATTACTTCTGGAGGTTTATTAATTACTTCTGTGGAAAGCACAGCATGCACTGAGAACTGACTTTTAATTAATTTTATTATTGATAAAATAATAATTAATTATTATTAATAATAATTTTGGTAATATATTGGTTGAATTCTATTTAAATATTTATTTTTTTATACTTCTTACTCTACTTTTTTTAAAATAAACCAATAGAAACAGACTATATTTGACTGCTCTTCCTTGGGTGCCTTTTGTGCTCACCTTCAGACACTTCTGCTCCCCCAAAGCACCCTCAGGGAAAAAAGCCCTCAAGGCATTGCTTTGGATCACCTTGCTCCTGCCTCCCTTCCCACCTGCTATAGGATGCTGACTGGAAATATATTTTTTCAGGTGGGGGGAATGTTTACATTGACTCACCAGCTGCTCAAAAGTGCTGGGACAATGTGGGACCATCACATGCAGGGACTGTCCTGGCACAGGGAGCATCTCGCTGTGGGCACCGTGGCAGCGTGGGGAGCAGCATGGCACGGGCACCAGCACGGTGAGGGCACCACCCCAGTGTGTGGAGCACCTTGGTGTGGGTAGCTTCACTCTGGCAACCCTGGAAGTGCCTGGGGAAACGGAGAAAGGCAGGGAAGAGGCTGAGGGAGCTGAGTGAGCATGTGCGAGGTGGAGGAGACACAGCAGATAAAATCAGAGCTGCTTCCCAGGCCGTGCTGGGAGAGGCTCAGCAGAGCTTTGCCGAGGCCAAGACCACCTAAGGCTGCAGCAGTGGCCGCTCCTCAGCCTTGTATGGGGCTGTATCGGTTAACAAGGGGCTGATTATACAGGAGACGCTGGAGCAGGATGATGAAATTTTCCTCCTCCTCCGGAGCCCTTGGGCCACTGGCCAAACCTCCCAGGCATGAGACAGCAAGCGGATGAGCTAAGATCCTGTGTGATCATCTCTCGTGTCTCAGAGGAGCCCCGACCTAAAGATCACCACAGAAATTCACAAGTTGCCCCCTAAGCTCCTCTTCCTCTGCCCTGCAGGGCTGTATTGCCCAGTTGTGACCCTCAGCTCCTATGGGAGGTTTCGTGGTGTGGGTTTGACCCCAGACTGGCACAGTGGTGACAGCGGGGCCAGCAATGCCCATTTCCAGCCTGGCCCTGCTGTCCCTTCATGGAAGGGGCCAATGCCAAAAGAGAATGGGCTCCTCCATCCCACAGATGAAGCACTCAGGGACATCCCTGGATGCCAGGGTGTCTCCCAGTACATGATGTGGCTTTTTTCCATCATCCAGCCTGCCACCGGGGAAGGGACCCCGGGTGTCCCCTGTGTCCCTGCCCTAGAGGATGCCCATTTTGGGGCTGCAGCCCATCTGTGGGGCCCGTTTCCTGCCTGCACTGTGGGATACAATGCACTCAAAGCAATACAGCCCCCCCAAAAAAACACAGGCACGGGGCAGGGCATCATCACTTTAGGATGGGCATTATGCCCCAGGGCCAGGTCCTGCAGCATTTGTCACCATGGCACCCTGATGGCTGCCAGGGTCACCCTGATCCTGCAGCTGGGGACACACAGGTGTCCCCATGGCTATTGTTACTACGGCATTATACAATATTATATAATGATACAGAAATATATAATATTTCCTACGGCATTATATATTATATTATGATACGGAAATATATAATATTTCCTATGCTGGGAAGTCCAGGGCTGGACATCCAAACTTAGTCCTTCCTTGTATCAGCAGGCACAGTTCATTCCCACCAGGGATGTGGAAGGTGCCATAGGGTGCCACCAACCCGCCCCGGGCAGCTCCAGGGCTGGCAGGGCCCGGGGCAGGGCCGGGGCTGGGCTGGGGACGATGTCCTGCGCGGAGCGAGGAGCTGTGCACATCTGGATTTCTCACGCTTGCGTTCAACATCCCTCCTCAACCAGATGGCAAAAATAAATAAATAGAATAAATCACAACCTCCTGACATAAATCGGGAACTCACGCCCCGGCTCTGCGTTTCATGAGTCTCCCTGGAAGACAGTCAAACCCAGGCGAGGACAATGGGTTCACTTCTCCCCTGTGTCGGGTCATTCCCAGTTAAGGCTCATTAGCAGCAGGCGGGGGATTAACTCTTCCTTCCCTGGAAATGTACGGACAAGCCCCTAAAAACCCCCAAATCCCTTCCTCTACCCTCCCCTGAGGTTTTGGAGCCGGGGCCGGCGGTGGCCCCCGGCTCGTGCCATCGCCCCAGCGAGGCAGGACGCGCTGCTCTGCTCATCCCAGGCCCGGGAGAGATGGAAAGGGCTTTCAATGACCTCAGCCAGCGGCTGATCCCACCCAGCCGGCGCCCCGGGGCAGCGGGCCAGCCCCGCGGGCCGCACCGGGAGCCCCGCGCAGGAACCGCCGCTGCGGCTTCCCCAGCGGCCTCGGCAGGACCCTGTCTGTGGCTCCCCTTCGGCCCCAGGAGCGGAGAAACTCTGCTGGCCGGGACGAGAGCCAGGAGGGGCTCCGGGGAGCCATCCGCTGCGATGGGAGCGATGCTCGCGGCCCGATAACGGAGCGGCCTGACCGCGGGCCCCGAGCGGCGGGTCAGCGCTGCCTTCGGGGAGCGGGATACGTGAGGAGCTGCTCCTGCCCGCGGTGAAGTCAGTGCCGCTGCCTGGGTGTGACTGACTGACCTCAGCCCTTGGCCCCGCGGCGCGGATCATGCGCTGCCTGACGCCGCGCGAACCGGGCCGGACGGGCCCCGCGCTGCCCCGGGGCCACCGGCCGGACGGGACTTGCCGTCCGCGGGGGCAGGTGCGGGGCTGGGGCACCTTCCGCGGGGTGACCCCCGCTGCAGCCCCGGCACCGGGCCGGCGGGAGCGTCCCAAGCAGGGCTGAGCTCGCCGGCAGAGCCGGGGCAGGCGGTCGGGCCGTTCCCTGAGAGATCCCAGGTGGAGCATCCCGCCTTCCCCCGTGTGTGCCCAGGCTGGGGTCGGACCCACTGCTGCCCGCTTCACCCCATCCAGGGGTCCCCCCAGGGCTCGGCACTGGCCAGACGCGTTCGGCTGGTGACCATCTCCCCAGGCGGGTCCCCGAGGACGGGAACATCGCATCCCGAGGGCCGGCTGGAGGCTCCGTCCCGGGCTGGCCGGCGGCCCGAGCACGCAAAGCAGAGGCGAGCCCATCTGAAACGCATTCGGGCACTGTTGCTGCAATAGCAGATGCTCCTGCGGGTCGCCGGCCACATCACAGCCCGGCGGAGCGGGAACCACACGCTCACATGGGAAGAAACAGTTCTTGTCCCAAACGGCTCGAACTCCTAATTGGGGACCAACCGTGACAAATAAACAAGACAATGGGCTGGAGGCGAGACGAACACAACCTCTGTTGCAGGACCCGGCTCCGAGAGCCGCCCCCGTGCCCAGCAGGGGACTTGGCACAGGCCCGCAGGAGCCGGGGGAGGGCAGGGGCAGGATCCGGACCCCCTGGCAGAGCCACTCTCTGTGTGACACCGCTGGAGCTCGGGGCTGGCTCGGGAGCAGGATGACACATCCCCAGTGGTCCCCCGAGACCCCTGTCGGTAGCTTTGCTCAGCAAGTGTTTAGTCTCATTTGGAGCGGGGTCAACTCCAGCCCTGCGGAGCTGCTGGAGCGGCCTCTCCTTGCTGCGCCCCAACTTGGGGCCGGCTGGGGACTCCCCGCACGGGGCTCAGGGACCCTTTTCCCTCGGGGAGGGGATGCTTTGGGCTGCCTTGGAGCGACGGGCGTGGTCAGCCCCGCGGATCTGATAGCGGGGTTATCTCGGCGCAGCTATCGCCCTCCAACAGAGACCGGAGCGCTTCCGCAGCCCCGGCTGCGCTTGGCACCGATGGAGGAGCCCCGAAAAAATGCTCAGTGCCCTGGCCAGAGCCTCAGCATGCAGAGCACCCGGTCATCAGCGTCCAAAAGGGAGTGAACATCCCGGCTCTTCCACCCCTGCTCTGCTCGGGTCTCATGGGATGTGGAATCTGCCTTGAAGACTGATCCCAAAGCCCAAAATTCAGCAGGACCTGTGAGGCTGAAGGTGTTTGAGAGATCTGCTTAACAAGGCATTTCAGCTGGCCTGAATCTACATAATTCCTGCCCTGAGGGCTAAATCAGGGCTCAAGGGAAATATCTCACCTAAGGAAAGGGAGTGAACTTTGTGATGAGGCAGAGGGCTGGCAAAGGTGAAGAGATGGGAAGAAAAGTGTTTGGAAGCAAATCCCAAGCAGGCTCCCAGAAGAGCAGACAGGCAACACTGGGAGAGACCCACTACTATGGTGGGGATGGTGGGGAAAGACCAGCCCTGGAACGAAGCAGGAGCTGTGGCAGGTCCCCAGGGTCCCTGGAGCCAGGGCTGCAGAGAGGGCACACGCCACTGAAGCCCCTGTACCCCTCCTGCTGCTCCAGCTGGTGGCCTCCGTCCCTGTAGGGCACACGGGGTTGTGCCACGTTTGGCTGCACATCAGTGCAGCTCTGGGGGAAGATGAGCCCCTGCTGTCCCTTTTCCCACTAAAACTAATTCAGAGAGTCAGCAAAAAGAATGGAGATTCCTGGAGAAACAGAGGAAAGGAAAGCAGAGGTTCCTCTCAGTATGAAGGGGAAAAGGACAACAGCCCTGGCTGAGGCTGATGGGTCTGTCCCTGCTCTTTGCTCTCCCCACACTCTCCAAGCCCAGGGCACAGCAGCACTTCCAGCCCAGTGGCACCACAGTGGAAGAGGGGGACACTCCCAGCTAAAAACTTCCCTGCTCAGGGTTTCACCCAACACCAACAGGGTGTTGGTGAGGATGGCTGAGGACTCCCAGCCTCTGCTGAGGACTCCCAGCCTCTGCTGAGGACTCCCAGCCCATGCCTGCAGCAAGGCAGGGATTGAGCCCTGATGGGCACCTTGGGTGTCCTACTGATCTGGGCCACACCTCCCTCACCTGGCTGAGCTCACTACGAGGATGCCAAGCTTCCCCCCTGGCCTTCACTGCATCTGGGACAGGTTTTGGGGCCAGCAGAGTTGACATGTTATTTATTACAGCAGAATGAAGTGCTACCTGGCCTGGGTCACGCTCCTCTCCTGTTTCCTAAGAAAACAAGGTGTGCGTGCAATCCCGCCGGGCAAGCATGTGCGCGCCTGTGGCTGC